GCGGTAGCAGTAGCAGGAGCAGTAGGTGTAGCAGTAGTCGTTGTAGTAGTGGTAGTTGTAGCCGTAGCAGCCGTAACTGTGAATGGCCTTTGCCCTTTTGCTTCCAGTCTTCCATGCACAGGATCGGCATTCCTATGCTGGTGATCATGGGGACTCTGAACTTCTTCTTCGGCCACGGCGATGCCGAGAAGGCAGGAGTATCACATAGCGGTTATTTCTCGGGGTTGAAGGTTTCAGCTGCTGCCTGCCGGGGTTTCGGTTAAGGACGTATGAGTATCAGGTTGAGAAAGTTTGTGGCTGGTGGATATGACTAGCTGACTAGCAACAGAATAACATCATTTTAGGAAGTGTAGAACTGCCAATGTTGGAGTTTCAGGTTGTAGGGTTACTCACGATTACCTAGTGACAGGTATGTCCTGTAAATGGGTAAGGCTGAGGGCCATTATGACTTGAATTCAGGCTTGATGGGTTCGGGTATATGCGTTCTGGATTTGGGGATTGGTGGTTTGCCATGCGGGGTTCACTTCTAGGGGTGCCTCGGTGCTTCAGCTTTCTACATGCTACATATTTCTGTTGACCCCTTAACGGCCAACTCCGTTGCCTGAAATGACGCTACAAGTGTTCAACAATGGGGAACCCTTGAACTAGTGTGCGATAGTCAGCCCCTATATACTATAGGGGCTTACTATCGCAGGTCCTATACCCGAAGCCTTCGGCAAACCCCTTGCGCCAAAGCCTTTTCTCCTGGTCCCAGGTTGGTGATAACCTGAGCCGAGCCTCGCCCAAGACATGGCCGTGTTTAGTGGCTACTGGTTATTGGAGTTCAGAGTTTCGGGGTAATACAAGCTCATAACCATGTTGATTCTTAGAAGTGAATGTGCTCCGAGATTCTCAATCTAGAGATGGAAGAGAGCTGTTCCTGTTTGGGACTGGCGATTCCAATGTTCTCACAATTTCTCACTCTGCTCGTAACTATATAAGAAATACTTCCGACTACGGTGGCACTACTACTACTACTACTACTACTACTACTACTACTACTACTGCTACTGCTACTACTACTACAACTGCTACTACTACTACTACTACTACTACTCCTCCTACT